TTGCACCAAAAACATTTAGATTTATGTACATTCTCTGTTTAATTGCAGTCCAGAAAAACACTCATCTTGAAAACTACAAATCATTCACTTTTTAAATCGGGGGGGGGGGGGGGGGGGTCAGCATAATGCTTGTTTAATAATGACACAAACATCAACCTTCATCAAACTGAGCAAATGTTAGTTTTGGAAGTAGTGTCAGCACTACGTTGTGAATGTTTTTTATATTCTTTAGTAAGAGCGGTGTTAGTATAAATTAACTGCATTGACACAGTTAGTTATATTTGTATTACTTTAGTGAAATAGTATTATAAGCTTTGATTTTTCCCTCTTCTCTTTCTCGTCCCAGAAACCAGCCAAAGGTAAATATTAAATCAAATTTGGATTCAAAATGAAAACAGATTATGTAGTTTTGGCTTTTCTTGGTAAAATCCATTGAAATATCTGACGTTCTCCTCAGACTTTTGCCTACGATTACTGTTTCTGGTCCATGGAAGAGTCCCAGAAGGAGCAGTTTGCAGGTGGGTGTGTCTGTTTCATCTCCTGACAAAGTGCTTCCTGTGATTTGGAACTATTTCTGGAGCTCGTGCTGAGGCGGCAGCTCGCTCTTTATTTCTGTTTCAATTCTGTGGGACCTTTTTAAAAGAAGGACCACCCCTCGTCTCAGTTATCCAGTAAATCTGAAGCATTAATTCACATAAAGCACCAACATGCTCTGTTCTCAGCCTCTGAGTTAAGTCTGACCAGAACAAAAGGTTTTAGTTCTCTTTCTCTTTCAGCATCTTTTCTCTCCGTTTTGTCTCTGAGTCAATCCGGTAAATGTTAGTTTTTCGTGTTGGGGGTGTTGAGTGATCAGTGATGTTCATGCAGGTCAGGATGTGGTGTTCCAGTGCCTTGGAGAGAGTCTGCTGAACAATGCCTTCATGGGCTACAACGCCTGCATCTTCGCTTACGGACAGACAGGTAACCTCACCTGTGGTCTCAGCAAAGCCTCGGCTGTTCCTCTGCAGCTGCGCAGACAAAGATCATGAGAAGTGCACATCACACACACAGATCCAGCAGTTGAATAACTAACGAGTTAATGGGGTAGCTCAAACATTTTAAAGTGGCATTCTGTGGGAACGTTATGAACAAATAACATCTTACCTGTTGTAGATGGTTCTTTGGATGACCTCAGTTTGGAGGAAAGTTTGACTCTGACTGGACTGATGAGTTAAAGGCTTGTCAGAATACAGATATGCTCGATGTAGATTGTCGTTTTCAAACAATAAAATATTTTATGGTTGTTTAGACAGTGCTGTGGCACAATAATTTTCATATAATGATTTTGTATTATTTCTTTATTTACTTGCATTGTTTTTGTTGTTTATTTGCAAGCAGCAGCAGCTTCATGTAGCACTTCCAGTCCAGCCCAGACACAGGAATATTTCTGACAAAATTAAAAGCCTGGCGTTTCTTAAAGGAACGCACATCGCCCGCTGCCTGTGACGTACATATCCTACAAATACAGAAAGTGCCAGAAAACATCTTAATATTTAATACATTTGACATAAAACACATGACTTTACTTGTTTTGTCACATAACTGGCATATTTTCCTTTGATCTTGGCACAAAGTGAAACGTTGGTTACGTACTGTAACCCCAGATTCTATGAGTATAAGCGTAGCCCTTTAAGGCTGTCGCTGATGGTTTATCCCGTTATGCGAAGCATTACACTGAAAAATTTAGTCCACGCCCACCTGCTGTGTGGGCCCCACCCGGTCCGTATAAATTACGTTAAGAGCGTGTAATCGGCTCCCAAATAACTTTTCTTCAGCCATTTAGGAGCCAGTGAGGCCCGATGCTTAAAGGGCTACGCTCATACTCATAGAATCTGGGGTTACAGTACGTAACCAACGTTCTATTTCGTATAAGCTTCGCCCTTTAAGGCTGTCGCTGATGGGTTAAGGGCGAAGCAGATGTGGTCCTCGCCTCACTGGGTCCATTCGAACACCGTATGAAGCAGAAGCTTGCCCAAAAAACATCTTGTCACTCAGCTCCCCATGTGCTTAATTACGCATTGCGTAATTCCATGCACAGACGCATGTTGTGTAACTATGTGTTCTGAATGCATGAATGCCCTGGAAAAATTTCAACGGGGAGGGAAAATATGCTGAAAAGAGCCATGAACCAACCGGTTACGGCTGAACAGTATGAACAGATTAATAATAACAGGAGAACTGATTATTAATCAAATGAACTGATTGGTAACAATAGTCATGAACTGATTGGTAACAATAGTCATGAACTGATTAGTGACAATAGAACCAAAATAACAATCACAACTTGTGACTGATAACAACATCTCACACTGCATGCAGACAGATGTGAGTTAAACGGAGTTCCATGAAACAACAATGTTCATTCTGTAAAACACTAAGGACAGAATGTGTTATGGAACGGGCCGTCACATCACGTAGATAAAAGTGAATAAATAAGCAGGGTGTTGAACACGCGGCGCAGTGCAAATATCCTGCATTGTCATACCATTATGCAAAGCAGTCGAAGACGCAAAACCCCTGATCGAGTGCGCCCTGAGGTTGACAGGAGGCTCTAAATCTGATGCTCTGTAGGCTTCAGAAAAAGGCCTCACACAGCCAGTGTGACAAGCGCTGGATGGATAACGGGCGACCTGCAGATGCATCTCTATAATGCACAAACAAATGCTGAGTTTGACGCATTGCAGCTGTGCATGTTATGTAACACGTCAACGCCCGCACCGGACAGAGAAGATGGAAAAACGCCTCTTCTTCTGATTTGTGGGGGGAAGGGAAAACCCCTCCAACGATATCACCCTTGATTTAAAAGAGCTCGTGATGTTTTTGGCATAAAGCTGGGTTTTGTCTTAAATCAGCTGAGCTGCCGTCAGCCTGAATTCTGAGACATGACGGAGTGACAGAGAAGGCAGATAATCACTCACCCTCTTAGCGGATGTTAAAGCCAGCAGCAGGGCTGTTTTAAGAGACAAGAATTTAATCGGGACCTGATCCAGAGGCTCAAATGGAGCTTTGATCAGGGCTCGCAGGGCCAGCGTTAAAACCCACTGTGGAGCAATTGGGCGTGAAACAGGCCTGCGTCTCTGTACGCCTTTTAGAAAACGCTTCATCAGCGGATGATTAAAGGCTGTTCTGTCTCCGAGCCCTTCGTGGCAGGAAGAGATGACTGCAGCGTACGTTTTAATCGTGCTAGACGCCAAATTTCTGTCCATCAGCTGTTGTAGAAAGGACAGCATGCCACCTAGTGGACATGAGGTGGCCTCTACACTATTCTCTGTACACCAGCACTGAAAAACTGTCCACTTTGATGTGTACAGCACTGTGGTAGATGCAGCACATGAATCCTGGATTGTGCGCACTACATCCTATGGGCGACCCATCCTCTCTAAGCGGATCCGCTCAGCGGCCAGACCCACAGGTGCTGGCCTATTTCTGGGTAACTCCTGATCTCTCCTCCTGCCTGGAGGAGAGCATCCTCCCTCCATGGCAGTTTCCACGGGCGCCCCGACAGCAGGCGTTGCAGGACTGGGAACCATGGTGCATTCACGCGCTCGGGGGGCCACCAGGAGAGCTGTCAGTCCCTCCTCCTGAACTCCATTCAGGAACCGTAAAATCAGAGGAGGTGGAGGAAATGCGTACAGAAGCGTTTTGGGCCATGGGCTGTGGGCAAACGCATCCACCCCCAGCGGTGGTTCGTCTCGCGGGCTCAGAGAAAACCATAGTTGACACTGAGCGTTTTCTCGTGTCGCAAATAGGTCCACAGCTGCTTTGCCAAATTTCTGCCACGTCTGAGTCATCAGGTCTGGATGGAGAGTCCAGTCCCCGTGACGTGGACCGCCCCTGGACATCACATCTGCCCGTTTGTTCAGAACACCAGGTATGTAAACTGCTCGGATGGAGAGCAGATTTTGGTGAGCCCAACACAGTAGCTTTCACGCAATGTGTAACATCTGGGCTGAGCGCACACCACCCTGCCGGTTTATGTAAGCAGCAGTCACCTTGTTGTCTGTGTGAATCAAAACGTGTTGATTCTGTAGCACGGGAGCAAAGTGTTGAATCACGTTCAGCACCGTGTGACACTCCAAACCATTTATGTGGGCAGATGTGTGATGGGGCCAAAGCACCCCTACTGCTTGAGATAGGCATGTCCCCCCCCCCCCAGCCTGACGACGACGTGTCCGTGAAGACTGGCACGTGTGACGTGGGTCTGCTGACGGGGGCTCCCTCCAACAGAACCTGGGTGTTTCCCCAGTGTCGGAGGTCTGCCCTCACGGAGGGAGGAACAGTGATCATCCGTCTCTTTTGTTTTACTGGATCCAGACGCGCAAACCACCTCTGGAGGCGTCTCATGTGTAATAAACCCAGCGGGACAACTGTGTGAGCTGATGACATCATTCCTAACAACTTCATGATGGAAAACAGCTGTTACCACTCTGCCAGGTCTTGCGTGAAGGAGCTGGTCTTTTAAAGTGTCGATTCTTGTTTGTGATAAACGAGCCCTCATCGTGGTTGAATTTAACTCCACTCCCAGATAAACAATTGTCTGGGCCGGGAAAATCGAGCTTTTCTTCCAATTTATGGTGAAGCCCAGATTTAACAGGTGTGATGTCAACACCTGAGCCTGCATCACTGCTTCCTGTCTGGAGCATGACAGTAGCAGCAGGTCGTCCAGGTAAAACAAAACTCTCATCCCTGCTCTGTGTAACGGATGCAGGGCTGTCTCCACACACTTTGAGAACGTACGAGGCGCGAGGGAATAACCGAACGGCAGCCTGTTGTACTGATACTTCATCCCTTGAAAGGAGAAACGCAGGAATTTTCTGTGTTTTGGGATGATCGGTATGTGAAAATAAGCATCTTTCAGGTCGACGGAAAACAAAGCAGTCATTTCTCTGGATGTTGTCCAACAGCTGTCTGGTTGTCAACATGTGAAACGGTCTGTCCATGATCACCTTGTTGAAAGCTGACAGATCCAAAATGGGTCTCGTTCCTCCGGTCCGTTTGGGAACCAGGAAGTAACGTGAGTAAAACCCTGTGTTTTTCTCTCCGTTGGGAACTCTGGAGATTACTTCTTTTATCAGAAGCTCTTGGACTTCTGCATTTAGGGATGAGATTTGGTCTGGTGATGACAGGACCGTCTCTAAAATTCCTCCGAACGGAGGGGGTCCTCCAAATTGCAACGTGTAACCTTTGCATAACACCCTGGCCATCCATCTGTCTGGCGAGCATGTTTTTAGCCACTCCGCGTAACGCTCGTGGAGTGGACGTGCGTTTAAGTGATGCGTCATGTTTTGTACGGATGTCATCCAGTTCACCGCCGTCATGTGTCGCGGGAATGTTTTCCGCGTGACCCAAGGCGAGGCTTCCTCGAAAAGGGCTCTGAACGCGCCCGTGTGCTACGTTCGGACCGCGGACCAACCTTCATGTCTAGGTGGGCCGGTGTGTGCTGAGGCGAAGCGTGACAGCTGATGACGCCATGGGGCTGCGCGTTTCATGCCACTGCGGTGAAAACACGTGTCGCTCCTGCCGCGAGCAGTGTCCTGCGCTGGGTTCGCTTTGAGATCTCGTATCTATGCCGCCATGAGCGGGCGAGCGCTGCGAAGCTGTGAGTGTGACTTCATCTACGCTGTGCCGTTTGAGTGAAGACTGCGAGCCCCGCGGGAGCACACGTTTTGAGAACCAAAAAACAGGAAGGAGACAGCCCATGTCACATCAAGGGGCTTCCTCCCATTTTACTTAGAGACACGCTGCTCACGCCCTCACTACCCATCCTTTGGTTCAGTCTTATACTGCCATCCACTGGTCAAAAACTGTACTACACACAAAAATTTACCAACATTTCTTCTTAAATTTGACAATAATTGCTAATTATTGTCAAATTTATTCAACAATTTCTGAGACAATTAATCGCCCAGCAAAATTTGTTAACGCGACAGGCTTAGTGTTGGTAGCTGAGGGTCATTCCCAACACACAATCCAAGTGCTAACAGATTGTACAAAGTCTCATGAATCATCTAAGAGGTTTAACCTAAACTAGTAGTTTAAGACTGAAGACAGCAGGCTACCTGCATCCTTTCCAGGATAGCTGGGCCTTTAATTCAGGTCATTTTAACATGGAACTCCTGAAGATTTTAAACAAACATTTTTATCTGTTCATCCTGATCATTCTTTGTCTCTTTTACACATCAGTTCCCATTAAAACATAAAAATAATAGATGTTTGTAACAGTTGGACTGTGTGTGCTCCTCATTTTCGGCTCATACACTCTTCAGACATGTATGAACATATATTTTAGTTTCACATCTGCAAACATATGTCAGATTCTCTAAAACAAACTGTTGAAGTTAACAACTCCTCCTGGCTGTGTTTCTGAGTGACTGGTTGTAAACCTGTGTCTCCAGGTTCGGGGAAGTCGTACACCATGATGGGCTCAGCAGAGCAGCCCGGTCTGATCCCTCGTCTCTGCAGCTCCCTGTTTAACAGAACCGTGCAGGAGGTCCGCGAGGGAGAGACCTTCACCGTGGAGGTCTCCTATATGGAGATTTACAACGAGAAGGTCCGAGACCTGCTCGATCCTAAAGGGTGAGGCCGTGCAACACAGAGCCACGAACACAGTTTGGATCATTCGTCACTCGGGCTTTACATCTGTGCGTACAAAAGATAAAAGATGCAGGACCTCCCTTCTCTCCTTTAGGAGTCGACGGGCTCTGAGAGTGAGGGAACACAATGTTTTAGGCCCGTACGTTGACGGTCTGTCCCGCCTGGCCGTGACCAGCTACAAGGTAACACAAACATGTTTTTACAAGATTTATTTCCTCCTTTTTAAACTGAGTCACAGAAGGAACAAGTCATGTTTCTGGGATGGATGTTTTCAACAGGACATCGAGTCTCTGATGTCAGAGGGAAATAAATCTCGCACGGTGGCAGCCACGAACATGAACGAGGAGAGCAGCAGATCCCACGCCGTGTTCAACATCATCCTCACACACACGCTCAGGGACATGAAGTCTGGGGTTAGATTCTCCTGTTTCTTCCTCCTGATGTGGCAGAAAGATCTGAACATTCAGTTTGTTCTACTAGAGGTGTAACGGAGTGCTGGAGTCATGGTTCGGTACATTAGGGGCGGCTGTGGCTGAGTGGTTAGAGCAGTAGTCCTCCAATGCGAGAGTTGGGGGTTCGAATCCACCAGCAGTCACATGTCGAATTGTCCCTGGGCAAGTCACTGAACCCCTCATAGCCTTAGATGTGTGTCCCATCAGTGTATGAATGTGATCTAAAAAGCATTGATTAGTCTCTTTAGAATGATTTGTTGAATTAGCTTTGTAGAGATCTAGCAGAGTGTTGTATGAATGGGTAAATGAGGACACAGATTGTTGTGTAAGCGCTTCGAGTGTCTTGAAATAAGATAGAAAGGCGCTGTATAAGTACAGTCCATTTACCATTTATCCATGGGTATTTGTATACCGTAATTTCCAGACTAGAGTGCTCCTGAGTATAAGCCTTGCCACTAAATAAAATAGTTTAAAAAAGCAACAAAAAAAAACAATGTTGTACAAATATAAGCTGCAGGTGTTCACGTTGTAACATGAGTGTCAGCTCACAGCTACTGAGAGATGTACAGCTCTTGTTGTAGACCAAGAATCAACCACCAGATGGTGTTTTGTAGACTTTACTGTTGAACACACAGACAGAGGTCTTCATGACAACTACCTCCGTAGTGGTATGGTTCCTCTACTGAATGGTCTATAACACAAACTAACACATAATGAACACATGAACTAACAAGAACAGACTAACCACTAAAAGAACAAAGCTAAACAGCTTATTGAAATAATTAATAATGAACATAAAATTTACCCATAATCCCTCTCTGAGTCCGTGTGACCAGCAGTCAACGACAATGGGGCACAAATGCTACAATACGTACCGGTAACGTACACAAATACAGTAAATTATTATTATTTATTTGTTTGTTTGTTTGTTTATTTCTTCCAAACAATGCTGGTAATACGGCTGGTTAAAAAAAAAAAAAAACCTGTACAGTAGCCTACCAGGAAGTCATTGATCACTATATTTCTCCTGCTCCGGAGCAAAGTTGCTCTGTGAGCATGTGAGACTCACATGTTCTGTGCATGTAGGGGGATCCCCCTCCCGTTCTCTCCTCCCCGTTTCATTGGTTCGACTGTGACCTGTTCAGTAATTTCATTGGTCAGATATTTTAATCTTTATTTAAACAGGTAGTGTGATCAATGCACATCTCTCTTGGGGGGTGGGTCCTCGTGACTCAATGAGACTACCTCATTGGATCATTGTGGTTGACTACAGGTCACATGGCCTCAGAGAGGGATTATGGGTAAAATTTATGTTCATTATTAATCATTTCAGTTAGCTGTTTAGCTTCATTCTTTTATTGATTAGTCTGTTCTTGTTGGTTTATGTGTTCATTATGTGTTAGTTTGTGTTAGACCATTCAGTAGAGGAACCATGAGTGAGGGAGGTAGTTGTCATGAAGACCTGTGGGGTTCACTCTGTCTGTGTCACAATGACCCACCCCTCAACAGACATGCACTGGGCAGCTACGTGAGCCCCAGAGTGTGATGAAGCTAAATGCTTTAGGCGACAGGAAGCTCGTGAGCCTGTCGCAACCCCCCCCCCCAAAAAAAAATAAAAAAGTTAAACTAAAATTATTAAGTTTTAAATTAGCCGCTGCATTGTATAAGCTGTAGGGTTCAAAGCCTGTAAAGAAAGTAGCTTTACTTACATTCCCTGTTCTGTTCTGGTCCGGGAAAACACCCATCTTGAAAACTACAAACATTCACTATTCAAGTCCTTCAGCAACGAGGGACATTGGCGTGTTGCTCGTCCATCATCACAGTTAACAAAATGCAGTTAAATAAAATGGGTGCACACTTCTAGACGGGAGCAATGAGTACTTGAGACAAGTATTTGTTGTGTACTCTCCCAAATTACCTGTACTATGATGGTTTGGTACAAATACATCTCATCATAATTCCAGTTACCAAATATTATTGTTCAGTTTGCCCTTTTCTTTTATTTCCTGCAAAATTACAACTCTCCTGAGGTTCAGTCTGGAACATCATGCAATGAGGAGCTGCTGATTGTGTGTGTTTGTGGGTCTTCTGCAGACAAGTGGCGAGAAGGTGAGCAAGCTGAGTCTGGTGGACCTCGCAGGAAGTGAGCGGGCAGCAAAGACTGGAGCGGCAGGGGAGCGGCTGAAAGAAGGCAGCAACATCAACAAGTGAGTCAGCAGATGGTTCTGACTGTGTCTGTTGGATGTTCAGTTTCTTCAAGCTGAGGTCGTTCTACGTTCTGTGGACCTTTTGATTCAGCCGGCATGGCTCCTTGCTGCTCACTAAAGTCTGCCCCTCCCTGCAGGTCTCTCAGCACTCTGGGTTTAGTTATCTCGGCCTTAGCGGATCAGGGAGCGGGACAGAACAAGAGCAAGTTTGTTCCCTACAGAGACTCTGTGCTCACCTGGCTGCTGAAGGTACAGAACACTGCTTCATTCAGACCCTTGAGCAGACAAACAGGACAGGTTATTTACTCTGCAGACAGAGGGTTACTTTATCTGAAGAAATCCATTAATCAATTTCAAAAGGCTCTTTTATTTCCTGCTTTGCATTAGTCTCTTATCTTTGCTGCATGTTGCATTTTAAATGCAGCCTCTTCTTCTTTTCACACAGCTGTTGTTCATTTAAACCTAAACTTTAATTATTTTTAGACGTTTCTTCATGTTTTTCTTTACATGTCCTCTGATGATTTGTGTTTGACTCTGCAGGACAGCCTTGGAGGGAACAGTAGGACCGCCATGGTCGCCACCATCAGCCCCGCGGCAGACAACTACGACGAGACGCTCTCCACTCTGCGTTACGCCGACAGGGCCAAGAACATCGTCAACCACGCTGTGGTGAACGAAGACCCCAACGCTAGGATCATCCGCGAGCTCCGGGAGGAGGTGGAGAAACTGAAGGAGCAGCTTACAGAGGCGGAGGTGCATATTTTTTATTTTTTTTGGCTCTGTGTGCGTTCATCAATCTGATGACGATGATGATGATGATGTTGATGATGATGATGATGATGACGATGACAATGATGATGACGTAAAGTGATGATGACGTAAAATGTCTGACAGAAGTTTTGTTTCAGTCCATGAAAGCTCCAGAGCTGAAGGAGCGGCTGGAGGAGTCTGAGAAACTGATCCAAGAGATGACGGTCACCTGGGAGGAGAAACTCCGCAAGACAGAGGCTGTCGCACAAGTAACACACACACACGCACACACACACACACACACACACACACACACACTTCCTGCATCTAGAGGTGTAGATGTCTGTGATGGTGGGGAGACTTGACTCCAACAGTCTTCTGTGCAGCCTTCTCCACTCTCTGCAAAGCTTTTCTTTCTGCAGCTGTGCAGCCTCCATGCCACACATTGATGCTGGAGCACAGGATGCTCTCCACTGCACACCTGTAGAAGGAGGTGAGGACTGGCAGGTAGTGTTGTTGCCCCAGCTGAGGTTGTCATTCAGGTGCACACCCAAGTACTTGTAGCTGGAGACCACTTCCACTGCAGATCCTCCTATGTTCAGGGGGGTGTAGGTGTGTTTGTTCCTTTTGAAGTCCACAACCATCTCCTTCATCTTCTTTACATTGATGTGAAGGTTGTTCTTCCTGTACCAGCTCTCCAGGTGTTCCACCTCCTGCCTGTTGTTGGACTCGAATCGTTTGTGATGCATCCCACCACCGCTGTATCATCTGCAAACTTTACAATGTGACAGCCTGGATGGGTAGGTGCACAATCATATGTGAGCAAAGTGAACAGGATGGGGCTCAACACACAGCCCTGAGGGGAGCCAGTGCTGATAGTTGTGGTGGAGGAGGAAGAAGTTGTGGATCCTCACAGTCTGAGGTCTGTTTGTTAAGAAGTCCAGGACCCAATTGCAAATGGAGGGGCTTAGACCTAGTGTGAGTAGTTTGTCCATCAGGGCTTTGGGGATCATGGTGTTGAAGGAGGACGTGAAGTCCACAAAGAGCATACGGATGTAGGAGTCCTTGTGCTCCAGGTGGGTGAGAGCAGTGTGTACCACAGAGGAGATGGCATCTTCTGTAGATCAATTTTCATGGTATGCATACTGGTGAGGGTCTTTGTTGATGGTTGTTTGGATGTCTGTCATGACCAGTCTTTCAAAGCATTTAGCGACTCTCAGGGTGAGGGCTACTGGCTGGTAGTCATTCAGACCAGTCACTGTAGAGCTGTTTGGAACTGGGATGATGGTGGCAGTCTTCAGACAGGTGGAAACTGTTGCCAAGGTGAGTGAGGAGTTCAAGATGTCAGCCAGCACCTCACAGAGCTGATTGGCACATTCTTTCAGCACCTTCCCTGGGATGTTGTCTTGTCCAGTTGCTTTGTGAGGATTAATCCTCCTGAAAGTACTCCTTACTTCTGCTGAGGTCACTGAGAAACTCTTCTGGTGGTGAGGGGAGTCTGGTGCTGGGTGGTCTGTTAGGGTCTTCAAAGTGTGCGTAGAACGTGTTAAGAGCATCAGGCAGTGATGGGTCTCTAGGGCATTGTGCACCTCTGCTTTTATAGTCTGTTGTGCACTTAAGGCCCGTTTACACGGTGCGTATTTTGAGTGCATCCGCAGCTTTCTCTCTGCGGTTCTGCTGTTTATTTACACAACACCAGTGGCCCCCCTCTTTGAATCCGGAGGTTTCTGAACCCACCTTCCAGAGTGGTTTTTTGTTGACCCCCTGCTGATAATGTAAACATCTCCCGCTGAGGCTTTGCGTTAAACCACATGCACACACGCACGCGCGGACAGATACTATATTTCTATCAACATGGCGGCGGACAGTGCTTTCAGAACTACGACTGATGGAATATATTTTTAATCTCGTAGTTAATCTATGTCAGATTCTAGGTGCTGTGACCGACATCTGTGTTGGAAGAGACACAGTCAGATCCAGTTCTAATGTCGCTGTTTATAGAACGAGGCACGCGCACACGTCGCGCTGCACTGTAACATCTAAATGTGCTAAATAATAAGTTTAATAATAATAAACAGTATTTATGTAAGTGTGCGAGATATAATGAAGCTCTGAGCTAAATGAAGCTATCTGGACATTATGTAATTCAAATTTAAAATGATGCTTAACATATAGCGTGAACACTAAAGTTGAAAATGAAGACATCAGGTTTAATTTTTATTTATTTAGTCAACACCACAAACTGTATGTCACACAAATACTGATAATTAAACTGAACACACTATTAAAAACGTTAACTGTAAACTACATTAATTAACTGGACTCTCCTCTGTTTTCATCCTTGATGTCCCACGTTGTCCATCTGGCTCATTCAGGCTGTCACTCCTTTTATTAATGCAACTTAAAACATTGAATGGATTGAATAAAATAACAGGGGAATTTTAAATAAATAGTTCATCCAACAGCTCTCTCTCTTCGACGCCCTCCTGCAGTTCATCTGGGCCGAGCCTCGTTCAGAACTGGTCCGCCTGGTGGAAGGACAGCTTCTTCTTCTTTCAGGAAAAATAAAAACTTGGTTGTTTTGTAACCAAAGTAAACACAAACTAACATTATTAAGAACATTGATTTACCTGCTGTAAAACAGCTACTGATTATCACGGAGTAAAGTCCAACATCGTCGACTCGGTTCTGGTCCACTCAGCGACCAGTGTGGAGCTGTTAGACGAAGCGGTCCTGCTTGGTGTCAAATCTGTCGACTCTTATCCAAAATCCATCCAGAATCCAGCTCTAACTTGTTGTTACGTTGTTGTTAGCTGAGCTTTTTAGCTCATAGGAAAGAAGCGTGCCAAGGCAGCATGCATGCGCATTAAGTGACGGTACAAAATTCACAGCGCCATTTAATGACCTGGCATGGTAACTACAGCAGATTTGGGAGGGCGTGGGGGAATCCTCCGGATGCATGTAAACCCAAAATTCGACCGTGTCAACGCAAATCTTTTCCTCTAATTAACATACGAAAAAACCTACGTTTCCCCCCATCGTGTCCGTGTAAATAAGGCCTTAATGCCCCTCCACATGCTCCGTGGGTCCTGTAAGGAGAAATGTCCTTGGATCGTCAGTGGGTATGTGGCTTTGGCCCTCTTAATGCCAGCAGCCAGTTCTTTCCTTGCCTTCCCCAGTTCCTGTGAGTCTCCAAACCTGAAGGCAGGCTTTCAGCAGGGTATGGACCTCTGCGTTCAGCCAGCGTTTCTAGTTTGAGTAGCACTTTACAGTCCTGGTGGTGGTGACACCATTACCACACTTGCTGATGTATCCGAGGACAGGAGATTGTGTATTCCTCCAGATATCTAGTTCTCCCTCATTTACAGCAGCCTTCCTGAAGATCTGCCAGTCTGTACAGAGTTGTTGTTGCTGGCCTACATAGTGATGTTTTTCTGTGTTGGTCTGAAACGCCTCAGCTGGGGGAGGTAGACAGGGGCCAGTAGTGTGGAGATGTGATCAGAGTAGCCGAGGTGGGGGCGGGGTATGGCTTTGTATGTGTTTTGTATGTTGGTGTAAACGCGGTTGTGTTCTTTCCTCGTGTTGGTATGGTCACATGCTGATAAAATCTAGGCATAGTGTCTTTCAGGTTTACGTGATTAAAATCACCAGCCACCACGTAAAAAGCCTCCGGAAGCTTGTTTTGCAGCAAGCTGATGTTATTGTCTAGCTCCTGCAGAGCGTCTTTAGCATTAGCTTCTGGGGCTATATAGAGAGCAATGATGAACACCGCTGTAAACTCCCGAGGTAAATAGTGTGGTCGACGTTTCACAGTAACTTGTTCTAAAGCCTCGGAGCAGGAGCTGTTTATCAGAATACAGTTTGTGCACCAACCTTTGCGTAGACGCTCACTCCGCCTCCTCGTGTCTTCCCTGTTAGCTCACTGCAGCAGTCTGCTCGGAAAAAAACACACAAGTTCACATGAGCCCATGTTATAGAGTAACCTGTTCACATGAACTCCTGTGACATTTATGAGAATAAAGCTGGTTTTAGCCAGCAGTGATCCAGTTTGGTCTTTAATGCATTCATACTAACAATTAGCTCATCAGTCCTGTCAGAATTGAACTATTTTTCAAAAGTGAAATCAGACAAAAAGCTATTTACAACAGGTAAGATATTAATTGTTCATAGCTTTTCCACAGAGCCCCACTACTAACAGTCTGAACTCGCCTTTCAAGGAGTGAAATGGGTCCATTTAATCATCTAAAAACATGAAACTATCTCAGTTCTATTAGCTCTTTCTCTGTTCAGCCACACAATGTTTTCTTCATAAGATGATTAGATGTTCATCATTAGATTATAGATGACATGTGTTGTTCCTGCAGGAGCGTCAGAAGCAGCTGGAGAGTCTGGGGATCTCCCTCCAGTCATCTGGCATCAGAGTGGTGGATGATAAATGTTTCCTTGTCAACCTGAACGCTGACCCCGCCCTCAACGAGCTGCTCGTCTACTACCTCAAAGTATGAGACACGAACATGCAGGGCAGGTGCTGAAAAGTGATCATTAAACCTGCGACGCAAAACATTCTGCTGAGCGTCTTTTCTGTGTCCAGGAGCACACCCGAGTGGGCTCGGCTGATTCCCAGGACATCCAGCTGTGTGGGATGGCCATCCACGCAGAGCACTGTGTCATCGACATCACTGAGAACAACGGCGTGGTGCTAACGCCTCACCGAGGGGCTCGGTATGTAGGCAAGCAGCAAAAATACTACTTTGTTGTTCCTCGTCACGGAGGGAAGAGGAAATACCCTCCGTGTGTCTGTCCATGTTGTGAGCACGATAGCTTGACAAATATATGAGGAACCATCTTCTGTTTTGATGTCTAGCTGCGTCAAGGAGGTTAAGGTCAAGGTTCAAGGAGACTTTATTGTCATTCGCATGGCATGTGGTACATGAGGTGGAGCAAAGTTATGTACTCAGGGTCCCCAAAAACAGCAAAATATAAAGTATAAAAGAAGCAGTATACAAGGATCTAAGATATACACTAACAATAATAATATAATATAAATAAGTTGTATTAAACAGCAGCCTGAACATGAGTCTGTTGTGACCAGATCAAGTTCAAGTAGGTTTGTTGTCATTTCATCACGTGTTACATGAGGTGGAATGAAATTATGTACACAGGGTCCCACTTACATCCAACAATAGCAAAAATATAAAGTGTAAAAAGAAAAAGTAAATAAGGTTCTAAGATATAAACTAAATGGGTATGAATGGTTATGAATACAGCAGCTTATGGGTAAGAAATCAGCAGCACGGATAAAGTGTCTAATCTCCAATTAAAGTGTCTTTACAGTGATTTTTCTGATTAGAGATTCATGAGTCTTAACAGCTTCACGGTAGAAGCTGTTCCTCAGTCTGGTGGTTTTACACTTAATGCTCCTTAACCTCCTGCCTGAGGGGAGCAGGTCAAAAACTATAAGAAAGAGGTTCCTTTAAAAAAATTGAGATTTTCGTCAGTCAATTTTACAGACGTTGAGTTAAAGTTGGTGTGGTAGTATCTGTGACTTATCCCCTACATTTATTCTGAGCACTAACAAACTGCACAAAATCTGTTAGAAATTTTGCCATCACCTGTCTTTTAGCAAAATATCCTGTGAACAGTTGGATGAATTTTAATGAAACATTTAGAAGGTAATCTTAACAAAGTTAAGTCAGGTCCTCTGGACAGATTAAAACAATGAAAATAAAAATTGTTGAAACGTTTTATCTTATAAACAGCACCTTCTCATAAACTATGTTTACATTGACATAAGTAATCGGATTATAGGACCATTCGTAATAAAAATGCTTCATGTAAACGCATCATTCTGATTCTATTCAAACAGACCATTGATGTTTTTTTTAAATTGAATACAAAATCAGAATAAGTTTAAAATGTTTTATTGTAACCATCAGTTGCACACAAATCATCTTCTTCAGTAATGAAATTAGTACCACCGTCTCTTACTGTGGTCAACACTATACCTTTAATATACAAGACCTTAGCAGCAAAAAAAGTACACCAAGCACAAATCCACAATGAAAAATAAACCAGCTGGTTGAAAAAAATGGTGCTCGTTAGTGCTTTTTGCATAAAAATTGTAAAATCAAAAAACCTGATGAGTCCAGATTTACAAAAATAAAAGTTTAAATAGTGACTATATAATCAACTAACCCAGAACAGCCACAGGTATCAGAGCTTCTCTAATCAATTTGCATATGCTGGAAATTTTGAGAAGAAGGTCATGTTTGTTAGCTGCTGGCCTACGTTTTCTCTTACTGAAATGTACAACTCTAGCAGTGCTTTTTCTGCAAAGAACTTGCGACCTGGCAAGTCGTATTTTGCATCAAGAGTCTTAAGATTTTTGAATCCAGGCTTTTCCACAACACTGACAGGAGCCATGTCTCTGGCAATATATTTTGTTACTGCGTCAGTGATTTCTCTCCACTTTGTACTTTTTCTGTCATACGGGATGGCTTTGTCAAACGAAGAAGCTAGTGTCATCTGCTTCACAGCTGTATTATTTAACATTTTCTTTGTTATGTGGGGAGACGTGGACATACGGAGTTTACAACATTCTTCATTTTGCAGTGGACGACTTCTTAGGTGGTGAAATAAATTTGTGATACTGCTTCCTTTCGTGGCAATGGTTTTACGACACGTTTTGCAAATTACCACATTTTGTTCGACATACTCCTTGTAAAATCCAAACCACTGCCAGATTATTGATCCAGTGCTGTTTCTCTTCGGAACTAGTTCATTGGACTCTTCAGTTATCGTCTCATTCACCCGCTCACCTGAATCTCCCGATGTCGACCTATTTTTTCCTCTATCCAAGTCTATATGCGCATGCTCCGCACAGCGTGTCATGCGGAACATTTTCAGGTTGGGAGGGGGCAGGGAGTAGTGATGCATTTGTTGCGTGTCGGATAAACAAAACTCACAGTGAATTAGATGCGGAAAGCTTATTATTTGAATGGCAAGTTATACTCTATGGTTGCGATAGAGCCATTTTAACCATCGTAAATTGAAAAACTCGAGATACATCGAGTATAATCGATACATCGCCCAGCCCTATTTCTGCCTGGCTAATGCTAATAATATTAGCATGTCGGGGAAGCAAAATTGGTCGGTGAGTGATACAATATTTCTACTAGAAACTTTGAAAGAGCTCAAAATTATCTGTATTACCTGTAGCTTAGTCAGGGAGTGCAGTAACATCTCCACCGTCATTAAAATCTGTTGCGGGTCCATTTTGAGTGCTCAGGTTTGTTTATGTGCATCCCGGAAGTAGAACTTCTTCTGTGTTTTTAAGGAAGTTTACCACTCTGCACATGTCAACACTTCTATTCAGAGTAAAAGCCCGCCGCACGTAAACACTCATCCGGATTGTGCCCATGTAAACAATGCATTTGGATTACTTAATTTGAAAACATTTCAATCCGGTCAAAGAATTTTGCGTATGTAAACATAGCTATAGTGGATCAACCAGTTTGATTGTGACATCCAGAACTAGCTGTTCACATGACAAAGGAGGACCACCAGCCTAACAACTGATCATTAGCATTCTGATGGCTGTTTGCTATTCACAGAGAGCTGATTGATACTAGCAATAACGGCATTGAAAGAGGGGGACAGGGACAGTTGAACATGGAGGCTCCACCCCTGTTTAATGATGGACGGTCTCTTTTCACAAAGATGACTTCCTTCCTTTCTTCCAAGACCAGCGATCTTTTGATGTCACATCACTCTTTACGTGCATTCCTGTTGATGATGCAGTAGAGGTGGTCAGTTTAAAATTAAAATCAGACACCACTCTGAGCATCAAGGCCACACTTTCTACAGAACAACTGTGTCAACTCTTGAAACTGTGCCTGCAGTCAACTTACTTCACATATGGGGAGCAATATTATAGGCAGAAACATGGGTGTGCTATGGGGTCTCCAGTGTTTCCTCTTTTTGCCAACCTGTACATGGAGGAGGTAGAAAAGAGAGCCTTGACGTCCTTTTCAGGGACACCACCGAGTCATTGGTCCAGGTATGTTGATGACACCTGGGTTAAAATTAAATCTCAGGAAGTCCAACATTTCACTGATCACATCAACTCTGTGGATAAATACATCAAGTTCACACGAGAAGATGTAAAAAATGGCAGGCTGGCTTTCTTGGACTGTGCGGTCTCAGTTTCTGATGGAGAACATTTGCAAACTGAGGTGTACTGCAAATCCACCCACACAGACCAGTATTTGCAGTTTGACTCCCATCACCCTTTGGAGCACAAGTTAGAAGTCATCAGGACTCTGTACCACAGAGCAGACAGCATCCCCACTAACTCATGAGCCAGGCAGAAGAGAAATCCTACACAAGACAGACCCTGGAACAATGTGGATATCCTAACTGGACCTTCCTGAAAGCAGAGAAGAAACCCAAACAGGACTCCAGTCAGCCATTAGGTGAAAAGGAGGAACCCAGACCCAGACCAGTGGTCATTCCAGATGTTGCGGGAGTATCAGAGAAACTGAGACGTTTATTTTCTAAACATAACGTCCCAGTGGCTTTTAAACCCCAAAATACATTACAGCAAAGACTGGTTCATCCCAAAGATCCATTTCCCTAGCACAAACAGAGTAATATTGTGTATGTTGTTCAGTGTCAAGAGGGTGATCAGTCTTACATCGGGGAAACAAAACAGCCACTGGCCAAAAGGATGGCCCAGCACAGAAGATCAACATCATCAGGCCAGGACTCTGCGGTCAACACTCATCTCCAGGCCAGAGGTCACTCTTTCAGGGATGAAGATGTTCACATCCTTGATAAATGGTAAATGGACTGTACTTTCTATCTTATCAAGATATTCAAAGCTCTTTACTACACAATCTGTGCCCTCATTTACCCATTTGTACAGCACTCTACTAGATCTATACAAAGAATAATCAGAGCTTTATCCCATTCATACACCGATGGGACACACCTTGGAGGCAATAAGGGTTTCAGTGTCTTGCCCAGGGACACGTCAGCATGTGACTTCTGGCGGAATCAAATCCCCAATGCTTGCATTGGAGGATGCCTGTTCTAGCCACTCAGCCACAGCTGCCCAGATAGAGAGGATTGTTGATTTGAGAGAGGAGTAAAGGAGGCCATCTTTGTAAAAAGAAACCGTCCATCATTAAACAGGGGCAGAGCCTCCGTGTTCAACTGTCCCCCTCTTACAATGCGGTTATTGCTAGTATCACTCAGCCCTCTGTAAATAGCAAACAGCCATCAGGGCACTAACGATCCATTGTTAGGCTGATGGTCCTCCTTGATCATGTGTACAGCTAGTTCTAGATGTCACCAAGGGGTGACACCATGAGGTTGATCCACTATGAGAAGGTGCCATTTATAAGACCAAATTTTTTACAGCTCCTCAGACTGAAGAAGTCTTTTGGTTAAAAGATTAAATAGTTCAACAATTTTTATTATTTTGAATCCGTCCAGAGGCCCTGACTTAACTTTGTTAGATTTTTCTACCTGGATTATTGAGCATGCATCAGGATATATAGAAGGTAAGGCATTCTTAGATAGAGAACTTTACTAATTGTCTTTTCTATGTATGTGAATGTTTTTGTTCAGTGCCCTGAGACAACTTTGCTGAGATTTGGCGCTATAAAAATAAACTGAATTGAATTGAAAATAAGTTCTTTACAGCTGATGAACTTCTGAAGTCAGTTCAGTTCATGATGGTCGTCACAGATAATCTATGGAAGCAAATATAAAAATCACTTAACTCAGTCACTTTAACTGATAATGAACTATGTTTGACGTGGTAGTAGTAGCTGAGAGTCATTAGAGATGGTCTCAGTTTAAAGGCAGCATTTCTTCTAGAAATACGGGTTCTTTTACATTTTTACATGTTTTACTTTCCAGATTTTCCTGCTTGCTCTTTCTGAGCTGTGTTCAGATTTTTCTCTGAAGACAGAAGTGTAATAATCTCTTGTTTTGTTTACTTGTTGTTTTTGTCGGTGCAGGACGTGCGTAAACGGCGCTGAGGTCACCAGTCCAGTGCAGCTTCATCACGGGAACAGGATCCTGTGGGGGAACAACCACTACTTCAGGTGGGCTTCTCACCACTAAACATGTTTCTTTTTTTTATTTTCTTGCTTGCTCTCGATAAGGACAAACACTTTTCCCTTCTGCTTCTGCCTTCCTCCTGCTTTGCTCTTTGTCTTGTGATTCCTATCGGATCCTCTCACTACATATCCTCTGAATTGAAAATTACGGATCTGGTCAGCTGGTCTCTCAACATAATTGATACAATTTTCTCAACGAGAAGACAGGGCGAAGAAGAGCCCTCATGCCTTGAAGGGACATTAGCAGCTGGATACACTATGGACTCCTGGGGCCAGTGGAAGATGGTGTGTTTGTCTGTATTATGCTGGTGAAGATTCTCAGTCATCCAGGACATGATAAATTAAAAAAACGTTCAATTCAGTTGTTTTTGTATTGAACGTTTTTTGAATTTGTCTGTATTGTCCATTGAGGATGTAGAAGACGCGTACATAATTGGATTTATGATAACTGGAGTTCTGCTTTTTGGAGTTGGCGGGTATCTGGCATATGGACAAATTTGGAAGATGGCGGCAGCGGTTCTGACAAGTGGCTCCTGGGACTCACTGGCAGAATGGAATTAAGCTTGGAGAAGGCTACAAGCTCAGTCCGACCACAAAATTTGACTCTTTGGAATCGCCAGTTAGGTGTACCAGCAGAACTATGAAGGCAGACATGAAAATTCAAGTAGAGGTTGCCTGACCCAAAATAATTGTGTTATCTGAATTTGGCTTCCCCCCTTGGCCTTGAATTGGCCAACTATCTCAAACTTTTCCTGGTTGTTTATGTGAACAAGAAGCTCTGCTCCCCCCTCCCCTATCGCTCCCCTCCCGAGGACATCTGTGGATCTGTGCCAGAGTTGAGCTGACTGATAGACACTGTGCCATCTTTATCAGGACTATGGAACTATCTGGCAGTGTCCACGGACAACACACTGCCCCTGTCGGCCTCTTCATGCATAAATGTATTAATATGTCATCAGTATTTTGTTGTTTCATGTGCTGAGGTCTTTTTTTGGCAACACCTACACTCCCCCTCGTGTTTCTTTTTCCTTATCTGAAAAAAAGGCTGCGCCTCTTGAGGCCGGCGGTTCCAGTTTCCTCCGTTTCCCCATGACTGTTTGTTTCTCTCGGACAGGCTGTACCAAAATGTAATTATGTTGTGTTTCGGTGCAATGACAATAAAGCTGATTCTGCTTCATAAACAAAGCAAACCAGTTTTGTATTTTAATGCTGGAACAAAGGCGTCTCCTTTCTCTTCCTGTTTTTAAACTTCCTTCATCACCTGTGTGCGCTCAGGATCAGCATGCCCAGGCAGAAGCTCTACGCAGCAGCCGAGGAAGAGGACAGTGGAGCTTCCATGAAGAACTGCTTGAGCACCGACCAGCTGGAGGTGGATCTGGACACATCCAGTGATGTTTCCAGCGAGCTGAGCTTTGGCTACGAGTTTGCGCAGGCAGAGGTCATGATGAAGGGGATGGGCACTGACGGTGAGTCACTGAGATGGTGCAACGCAACACGAAGTGGCGTTCCTCGTCACTGAGCGAGGAGGAAGTTTGACTTTCTACTTTGTTGTTGTTGGTAAAACTTGTCAGAGCTTTATTCATTTCTTTACAAAGCAAGTGGTTCAACTTCAGTTCCAGTCCTGCAGGAGGCAGACTTTTGTCAAGAAAACAGCTGATGAATACAACAAAGCCACAGTTGTAGTGGGATGCAGAAGTATCCACCCACTTGGGATTATTTACCCTTTGTTGTCTTAGAACCTGGAATTAGAATACATTTTTAATCTATAAATATGTGATAAACCTGCACAAATACTTGAGATTAATTAAGCTAATTGGGGAGAAAACTTTGTTTAAATCATTCTAGAAAAAACAAAATTCAAAAGACTCAGAATTCAAGTCTACCGGTAGATTAACAGATGTCAATGTTTAAATATCTGATCTGATGGCCCCAACAATCAACACCGGTTTAGTGGACCACTGAGGGAACCCAAACCCAAACAACCACGGAAACCAGACCACAACACTGAAGGACCAAGAAAAGCGAAGGAGATCCAACCCATTCCCCCAGTACAACCTGATCTATCCCCATATATACACCCACACAGAACACACAACCACACTCATATGTACAATCCTATTTACAACGTTAGAGACACCCATTCAGGTTCATCTCAGATGATCATCCCTATACTTGTTGAAGATCATCAGTCTGAACCTTTTCTTGAACAAACTCATGGATGGACATGGCTTCAGTTCTTGGCTGAGTTTATTCCAAACCCTTACACCACTGACTGAAGTGCACATTCTTTTCATGGTTGTTCGAACACTCCTGGTTCTGAAGTTAAGGTTTGCTCTGTAATCATAACCCTCCTCTCTATCAGTGAAGAGTTTCTGTATATTATCTGGCAGTTGTTTGTTTTTAGCTTTATAAATCAGCTGAGTGCATGAAATTCTACCAGATCTGGTAATTTTAATAAGCAAGAGTTTATAGATAACTTAGCGTGGTCCTGGAAACCTGCCTTATGAACCATTCTGATGGCTCTTTTCTGGAGGGTGCACAACGGTCAAAGTGAAGATTTCTAAGCGTTTCCCCAAACTTCCACACAATAATTCAAATATGGCAAGATAAATGAGCAATATGCAGTATGTAATGCTTTATTAATCAATAAGTATCTAGCTTTACTAAGGACTGAGATACTTCTCGATACTTTAGCTTGAACATATTGAATGTGAGGCCTCCAGCAGATCTTGTGGTCGATCATCACACCCAGAAACTTAATTTCATTAACTCTGTCTACATATACACCCTCTATTCCTACTTTTAAATCATTATTCCCTTTCCGATTTCCAAACAACATAAACTTAGTTTTTTCCAAATTTAACGATAATTTATTTATATCAAACCACTTTTTTAATTTGTTTAATTCTGAGGTGATTTCCTCCACAAGCTGCTGTAAATTCTCCCCCTCACAGAAAATATTTTTATCATCTGCAAACAGAACAAACTGTAGTACTTTTGAGACCTTGCATATGTCATTTATGTATAGAATAAAAAGTTTTGGTCCGAATACTGATCCCTGGGGAACACCACAAACAAACATGATGTTTGAAAGTCACCTAATTTCACAAATTGTTGACTCTTACTTAAATAAGTCTTCATCCAGCATAAAACCACTCCCCTGATACCATAATGCTCCAATTTTTTTTATTAATATGTCATGATTTATTGTGTCAAATGCTTTTTTTAAAACCTATGAACACCCCAACTGAAATTTTATTTTTGTCTATGGAGCTGGTAATTTCTTCTATTAATTACAGAACTGCCACTGATGTAGATCTTTGAGATCTAAATTCATATTGACATTCAGAAAGCAGTTTTTGTTTAATAAATTTGTCCAAGCTAAATCATGTACAAATTGGCAAGGATTTGCAGGAATAATGATGCCATTAAGGCCTAATCAATCATTGTAATCGTTCATAATGTGGCTGTGGTCATAACAAAACTCGGGGTCATGCACAACACTCAAAACTAACGTTAAACACAAAAATCAATAGCCTCCAAATGTTTTTGCATCAATCTGGAGTCTCAAAAAAATGTTGCTCAAAATTCATATTGCTTGTAATAATCGAGCCGGCCATACTGTGTGATCGGGACATGCTGTAGATTGCTGTGTGACCGGGCCGTGCTGTAAATTGCTTTGTGATCGGACCGTTCTATAGATTGCTTTGTGATTGGACCATGCTATAGATGGCTGTGTGATCGGGCCATGCTATAGATTGCTGTGTGATTGGGTCTTGCTATAGATTGCTTTGTGATGGGGTCTTGCTATAGATTGCTGTGTGATCAGGTCTTGCTATAGATTACTTTGTGATCGGGCCATGCTGTAGATTGCTGTGTGATCGGGTCTTGCTATAGATTGCTGCGTGATCAGGATATGAAGTAGATTGCTTTGTGATCGGGTATTGCTATTGATTGCTGTGTGATCGGGCCATGCTGTAGATTGCTGTGTGACCGGGCCGTGCTGTAGATTGCTTTGTGATCGGACCGTGCTGTAGATATCTTTGTGATCGAACCATGCCGTGTGATCGGGCCATGCTATAGATTGCTGTGTGATCGGGTCTTGCTGTAGATTGCTGTGTGATCGGGATATGCTGTAGAATGCTGTGTGATCGGGTCTTGCTATAGATTGCTGTGTGACCGGACCGTGCTGTAGATATCTTTGTGATCTAACCATGCCGTGTGATCGGGCCATGCTATAGATTGCTCTGTGATCGGGTCTTGCTGTAGAATGCTGTGTGATCGGGTCTTGCTATAGATTGCTGTGTGACCAGGCCGTGCTGTAGATTGCTTTGTGATTGGACCGTTTTGTAGATTGCTTTGTGATCGGACCATGCTATAGCTAGCTGTGTGATCGGGCCATGCTATAGCTAGCTGTGTGATCGAGTCTTGCTGTGGCTGATTGATGGATGAGCCGCACGATCGGCATGAAATGTTTATTTTAAATAAATTATTTTAAATGATTTAGCACCTGTGTTCAGTCCACAGCTGTGGGAGAAGCTTCCTCCTGCATCTGATCTCCATGCAGAGCGGAGAAGTGGGCATGGCTGAGAGTGCAGCTAGAGAGAGACAGCTGAAATCATTCTATCTGTTCGCTTTTAGAGCGTTTAGAGTTTAGAAACATTGGTTAGAATATTGCAAGAGTGTGGGA